GAAGTGGGCAGACATCTAAGGATGTGCTTTTATATTTGGCTTAAGTGGACTTTAAGAGCACACTGCCCCTGCAAAGGATGAAGGTATTCCCTCCTGCCTCTGGATGTCCTTTGCTTGCTTCAGCACTGAGAACTATGGACCCACAGGAAGAGGTGATGCTGGCCATAGATCCAAGTATGCAAGAAGCAGTTTTCAGTAAAATGAGCAAGCTGGTCTGAAGTATGGTGTTGCTACATGGTTACATGCCAAGGAAAGTTAAAAGGGTGCAAGTTGCAGCAGAGACAGATGGGAATGCAGGGAATGCCAGTGGTCCCAAATTTTTTTTGACTGTATGGTGTTAGATCTGCTTACACCAATCCTGAATTTATGCCCTCTTTACTCTCTGCTTGTCAACCATATGGAGGTGGATATCTTACTACTACTAACTGCTACTCAGTGTCAGCAATCTCCTTTCTCTAAAAAATACATCTCTGCTAATGACTGATAATAGTGCAATCCATATGATGCTACATGTCTTGGACTTTTGTTTGCTTGTTTATTTCTCTAGAAAACTGCAAATGAAAAGATCTGTGAAGGGAAGTTACTACTAAAGTTGCCTTTTAGAAAAAAGAAGAAAAACAAAACCAACCAAAAATATGTTATTCAATGACTGAAGTCAGTATCATAATGCCCATAAAAGTGTCCAATTAAGGCAACATAGAGTTCCTGACTTTGCAAAATTTCACAATTTTTTAAAATATCCTCTATACATGTGTTGTAATACATGTGGTATTTTGAGTTTAAGTATAGTCAAGAATCTCAGAAGAGAGAAAGAGGACAAGTAAAAGTACAATTTCTGAAATACAGTAAAATGAGAGGCAGTTACATCATACAGTTTTACTGCAATAAAACTGAACACAGCAAGTATTCTTGCTGTATATCTAAGTATATCTCTCCAGGTTGCTTTTTGGCACCTGCAAAGCTAAAAGAACTCATTGTATTGCATTAATTATCATGTCTCCATACATTACTAATAATGCCACAGTACTTTTTTTTTTTTTTCCACCACTTAGAAGGCAAAAGGGAAAAGTCAGTACTGATCAACTTATTTAAAATATATATTTTTTACCTGAAATTCCTTGTATGGAGTTCAAGTAGCTGTGCTTAGAATTTGTTTGAGTTGTATAAATGTTAATGTATTTTTTTAATAGTTAACAAAAGAAAATGCCAAAGAATTGCAATAATAATAATAATAATAATAATAACTCTATTTTTGTAGGAAGTGGACTTTGGTTTGGTAATTAAAAACAAATTAAGCAAACTCAGGGAAGAAACACTTCATTTGTACAGGCTGTCTACTTGAAGATTTTGTATATGCGTCTAATTAATTTGACTGAAGCTGCATTTATAGAATTGACCTGAGAATTATCTCATTGGTAGCATTGATAGAAAAGATCCAGTTTCTCAAAGAGGCTTGATAGGTGATGGTAACTCAGCCTGACTCATGTCAGAAGACTGGACCAGCTAGCAGCACAAATAAGATGGTTCCAACATATTTGCTACCCTTGATATCACCAAAGCCATGCAGACTGATCAGTAGGAGGATTCCAGTTTGAACCTGCACCAGTATGATGGGATGATTGTGAGCTGTTTGTATAGTTTATTTTTCCCACTTTGCTGTGTTCATATCCTCAAAGAATTTTGCAGATTGTAAGAAATCATTTTTATGGATAACTATGGTTTAGTTTCAGTTTTCAGAGCCAAAAATCAACTAGATGAACTGTAGGTAGGAGACTCTAGATCTTGGTGACATTTCATTCTTGAGATAGAATGATGAGGTTGATTCAAACTTTGTTGCTAGCACTGGCTTCCAGCAGAAGAGTCACCTTTCGAGTTAGATTATCACTTAGCATCTCTTTCCATGAGAGCATTGTGCTGGTGTGCTAATTGAGGAAGATTCTCATTTTGTTGTGGTTTTGAAACCAATACAATATATGAATATATATGTTTATATAGTCAATATGGCCTATGTATTTTATGATATTAGCTTCATATGTTTATTTTGTGACAGAGGATCACTGAAACTGAATGTGTATTGCTTGAAAGAACATCCTCTAAATTGTTATTACAGAATCCTACAACAAAAGCAGTCAAATCAATTTTGTGGAAGTTGTGAAGTGCTTTAGCCAGAGTCAGACTTACTGTGGATAAGGAGGAGAGTCATAGAATTGCACATACATTGCTTGGGTTGAAAGGGATTTAAAGACAGTCCAGTTCCAACCCCTTGTTGTGGGCAGGGTTTCCACTCACCAGATCAGACTGCCCAAGATCGCATCCAACCTATCTTCTCAGACCTTTGTCTTCTCCAGTCTAAACAGGACCAGCTCCCTCAGCTTTTCTTCAGAGGATAAGTGTTCCTGATCATCTTCATGGCCTTCTCTGGATGCAAGTACTTGACAGCAGTGTGCACAGAATGTCAGCCTTACTTGAGGCCCACTGAAAATATAGTGGAACTATTTGTGAATGTCATTAAGTTTTAGAAGATTGGTTCTTTCAGTACTGGTTGCTCCAAGAGTGTGGGATTCCACTTAATTAGAAGAAAAAAAAATTTACTTTGACACATTTGAAAGGTTGAGTTCCAATCTAGGAGTACATTCTGTGGGCATTGCTGCTTCACTGAATGGGTTAGCAGAGTCTCCAGGGAAAATATCAGAAAAAATGAACAGACATTTTTGCCAAGTGTCATTATTTTCTGTGAATGCATTATCTTGTGAAATAGTTTGACTGTGTCACCAAACATGTTGTGCACACCTGCACTTGTAAAATATGTCTAAAGAAAAAGGAAAGATCAACAGTATATCGCCAAAGAGCAAATTTGACATTATTCACACTCTGAGAAACAAGAAATACCAAGGCTCTTTGGAATATGTATGTTTAGTACCTTGGTAGTGTGAACGATAGAACCCTATAGCAAGAGTATAAAAAAGACAGGTGAGAGGAGTCTTAGCTACAAATTATCTATACCAAAATGGACTTGAAAGGGATTTTTCAACATTGAATTCTTCAGTTAGGTTTGTGAAAAAAGTAACAGATTTCTCCTCTAAACTACTTGAATTTAGGAAACTAAATTAAGACATGCTTTCTGAGTGAAAACATCTACTGTAGTGGTAGAATGGGGTTACATGGCATTGTTGGTGAACCTTAAAGAGTAACAGTGTCTGTGGGATTTTATAGGCTTTACTCCTTAGATCAGGACCAATAGTCACTTCCTGTTTAAGATGCTGCAGTCTAAAGTGAACAGGAAGAAAGTATCTGGGCAGGAAAAAAAATAAGTTTTGTTCAGTGTAGAATCCAAAAATTGGAATTTTACTTACAAGTCAAAAGATTAAGTGAATTTCATGCCATTTAAGTAAGAATAACAGCCAGCAGCAAAAGCCAGGAAACAAGAAATAGCTCCTTAAGGAACATGTAAGGCCCTCAAAATTTAGGAAAATTCTATTCACAGTGAGATTTGACTGGGACTGTTAGTTGAAATGGAAGTCAAAGCTGACCAATCTTAAGTCTTTTTAAAATCTGTGACTACTACTGTCAACAGACAAAAAAGCAATACCCAAAAAACTGTAAGGATCCATTTGTTTGATCCTGTAGCATGCAGGAGAAAAGAGATAACAGCAAATTTAAACAAACTCTGAATCTAGATTACAGGATTTGTTTCACAAATGGCAGGGTCTCAGAGCTAGAACCAAGGAAGACACAATCAGAAGGAAAATTTTAAATGAGCACCCCAAGAAATAACAGGAATTATCATGAAGCTGACTGACTGACCTGTCAGATTTTGCATAAATCACTTGATTACCATTAACAATAAGCCAAGTATTTTAGTCTCCTACCAACATTTCCCTTGCTGGACACTTAACAATGAGAACTAGAAATTCCATCGATTATCAGGATTGTTATCTTCTTCTTCAGGAATGGGGTTTATTTTTCTGAAATAATATACACGTGGAGACTCTTTATTTTTTGTTTTCATTTCCCAAAAGCATTTATAATTGTCTAACAAGACTTAAATAGAAATTGGATTTCTTCAGGAAGCCTGAATCAGCAGAGCATTAGTTTACATGTTGAAGACTATTTATAGTGGAGGGGAAAATCTGCACATGTGCATAGATGTCTTGCTTTAAAGTTTATGTTCCACTGAAAAGAAAAAATATTTTCTCTAAAATACTAAAATGTCAAACAAAATTCTTACATTAGGCAGCTCTTCAAAACCCAAGGATCCTAACACTCATCTAAATGCAAACACTCTTGAATATTTTTCTTTGTATCAGGAATAGCGTAGAGAATGGATATTAATCTTCACCTTCATAAATTTCCTTCATCCCCTGAGATTCCAAATCAGCTGACATGTTTGAAAATTCTCCTTACTAGTTGCACAGAAAATAAACCTACTTAACACTGATGTGCCTTATTGACTGCTACATTTTCATCGTAAGGCATGTAATTGTGTTTTATGTTACTGAAAAAAGAACCACAATGAAAGCTAGCAAAGACTTCTCTGGAACAGAATAAATAATAAGGTGGAAAGAGAACTTTGAAAAAAATTTATATTTATCTTCACTAACTATTGCATTATTTCATCTCTGCTGAGGACATATTTACAGCTGTTCTCCTCTTCAGCTTTCTGTAAGTAAGCTAGTATTATATTTCCTGATGTCACATCTTCATGATAACACCAAGCACATATTTTAACAGACCTTAGAATGTCAGATAAATATGAAATTATTGTAGCAAATTCTGTTTCATTCATGTGCCTCTGTTTATTTTATTTTTGCCAGATATTGTTTTCTTCTTACACAATGTAATAGGAATGTGGCTGTAACAAATGTGGGTGTGCCTTTGAATATTTTTTCAATCTGTATTTGGATCTGTCCTTAATATAATATATCTGAACTGTATGAAAGGTACTGAACATAATTGACCTTCAGGTTGTGAAGTACATCTTCACTTTCCATTTCTGCTAGGTAACAGAAGCATACATCTGAACACCCAAGTTGACCTTCTGTGGATGAGGATTCCCTTAACTTTAATTGATATCCCCGTTTAAACTCACCCATGTAAGTCAGGTTATTTGACTTGAAATACTCTTTCAGAGTTGACTGTGTCAGTTATTAGAGGTTGCCTGTCCTTTGGTCTGGGGTGGTGGAGAGTTGTGAGAAGCCATTTGGTGACTATCAACATCACTATGTTATTCCTGTCTATCCCTATGTATTGGATTGGTTCCATCTGGACCTTAACCAAAACTAAACAAAATATGTGCTTAAGCTCTTCAGTGTTCCTAAAATCCCCTTTTTTTCTCATGCTTTATTTCAACCACTAAATAAACATTCCTTCTTTTATGGGAGCTGCTCGTCAATATTAAAAGAAAAACAGGTGCCTGAAACAGTCAGATCTACAGGATGATAGGCATTAGTACATACATGATAACACTTGCCTCCTAACAAAAAATAAAAGAAGAGCAAGATTGCACACAAACACAAGCCTAGGATCAGACAAGTCAAGAGCCAGAGGTGATGTCAGTCTTGTAACACTGAAAACAAAATGTCAGGAATCTGGTAAAAGATAATGGTGATTCCTCTGTCTGCTCTGAAACTTACACTCTGCAAAAAAACTTAAATAAAACCCTTTCGAGTTTATTTCCTCTTCAATACAGTACATTCTTTGTCCAAGAGTAAAGTAGTAAAATTGTATTTGCTGACATTTAGAAGCTTCTATATAAAACTTTGATCCTTTGAAGTCAATGAGATTTTTGTCACCTGACTTATGGAATATAAAATGTAAAAAAATAAATCTGTTTCCTCATAGTACATGAAACTTACCAACAATTTCCTTCAGTACATTCCAAGTATACTCAAGAAGTAACAAGTAAATAGGATTTGGAGTAGGCCCTGGGCCCTCAGGTTCTCCTGTTCCATGCAGAAGCAGGAAAATTTATTCTGTGACACCATCTCCAGTTTTCTTGATGTGTTCCACATGACAAATTCTCTGAATACAGACTGGAAGATGAACAGTCACTGTTCTCCAGTCTGGACTTATAAACTTTCAACAGAGATACAGCGGACTTGTGATACTTTCTGTGGTATATTTTTGATGGTTGACAAGTCTTTTTCCTTGCAATTCTGCAAAGCTGTTAATAAGATCTCTATTCCATTGGGAACTGGCAGTGTTCCAGCCTTTGTAGTTGTAGAAAATCCATATACAAAATAATGCTTGGTAGTTCTGAGTTTTTTTACAGGTATTACTCTTAAGCCTCTGTCTTGTGTGAACTTTGAACTAGCTCACTCAGGTTAGTTAAAGCAGCCTTTATAGGTACAAATGGTATAGACAACAATTGCAGTACTGTTTTTTCACATTTTCAAAAATATGCTTCTTCCCTGGGGTATGTATTACATCGAAAGCATATAACACTGTGATGTCACGTATAAAGATGGTATCTCCTACACTCCCAAGGGATGACCTGTGTAACTAATCATAACCATGCGATTTGTAAGCAGCAGAATCATCCCCTGTTTACTTTATGAAAATCTTTATGCTGTGCAGTGTTTATGCATGCCTGTGCTGATCTCAGATTGTCTTTGGGGAGTGCATTACATGCTATGTTATACTGTTTTTATTATAAGCAATACAGGTAGTAATGCCTACAGTTAATGTTGCTTGACACTTTCTAGTATAAGATATTTTTATGTTGTTATCTTCACTGAGTTTAAGCCATTTGGACTACAATTTTTCAGGTTGGATACATGCCTCTTGATGAATTCTTTAAAGGGATATTTTACCTAAAAAGATTCTGCCTGGGGCTTTTGCCCAGAACAATGTTCATGAAAAGTATGCTCTTCTTTGTATAGCTTTTGTAGCTTCTCATTATTGGGTTGCGCCAACAGTACAACTTGATAGCAGCTTAACTCTTTGTAGCAGTGTTCACTGGAGTGTCCTTGTATCTCGTTTGCTTACTTGTTTTCCTTACTGCTGAATAGTGATCTGCTGGTAAAGAATAAAAGGTAGAGATATAGGAGCAGAGTTCCTTCCTACAGAAGTGATCGGCAGTTGAATTTTATTGAGTGAAGGTGACATAAATACCCAAACATGGTTGGCATTTAATTAGTTTATCGTTTTCATTAGACGTGGATTTGGGCCTTCTTTAAAAGAAAAATTAATATAATGCTGCAACATAAAAGTTATTAATGCCAAAATAAAAAATGTATACTGTGCCTGTGTTAATTCTTGACCTTCTAGAGAAAAATCATTCCTCATTGTGTTGCTGTAGAAATATTGACAGAAATGCATCCATACCCCCCTTCTGATGCACAGTTAACGCAGTCCAGGGTGACATAGAGGCTTGATGGCAAAACAAAATGTTTGCCAGTGAATTACCCTTGTCTATTGACAGCAAAACTTGAATAATGATACCAAAAGATCCCCAGCTACCAGCTGCTACTAATTAACAGAACAAATCCAGTAGAATTCAACCTATCCTAATGGAGGCAAACTTCTGGAACTAGGCCTTTTGTTCCAGTGACACCAATCTAAACAACAAGGCTATTGACTGCGTGCATGTGGCAGCTTTTGTTAGTGGGGGCTACCTGAAAAGATGAAAATTGCATGAATCTGCAATTTCAGATTCACTGATTCTCAGCTGAAAAAAACTCCATCTGTGAATTGACATGAGAGGAATGGTCAAGGTGAATTAAGATTCCATGTAAAAGGATCATATTGTCATAGTCTATCCCTAGGAAATGAAATAAATTTTGTTTCCAGTGGCAGTCTAAATAGATCTCAAGAAACCACAGCGCAGTTTTGATCTTTAGGATCACCATGGTTATTGCTAGAGGTCATTAATTTATCTATGGATCACCAGTCAGATCAGTAAGCCCTATGGACAATTCAGATAAGGAAAAAAATGAAAGGCATTCAAATAACTTCCTCAACTACTTTATCACATTTTTGCTAAGCTACACGCTGACAGGAACACGATTCCCCAGAAAGGAACTGTTCAGGAACCACCACCACCACCAAGAAACTACATAACTTCTCCCAGTAAAGATTCCTTACCATTTTCACCCCTTCCTTTACAGAAGACAACATTGTTGTTGTTCAGACTACATTGAATTCACAGTCAAATTTGAAGTCTAATTTTGAGTCAAGTAAGACACTTTCCCCACCCTATACTGGCAGTTAGCTCTTCCTTTCCTTTCCTTTCCTTTCCTTTCCTTTCCTTTCCTTTCCTTT